TTAACTTCACCATAGCTGTTGATTAAAAATTATATGCTGATATGTCACAAGAGATGGTTAAAGACTGTGGACATAATACTGGAGATATAAATAAACAGCGCAAAATTAGATTCTTAATCATTCATAAGAACTTATAAAATACGTGCATAAGTTAATAGTGCTTACCCTCACTCATAAATAAAATAAACCACCAAAAGTCCATGTGTTAAAAAATTATATAAATGTGTAAACTTCTTTTCTTCAAAATTTCTTTAGATGTAAAAAAGGAACTTCCACCTTCCACCCGTGCACAAACCAACATCAAATACACTCACCAGAACTTGGTGAGTGAAAAACGCCCGATGGGAGGGGCGAAACGCGTTGACGCATTTCCGGTCCACACCCCGTACGTCTGACGTAATTTCCGGTGAGTGGAACGCACGCTGAGCGGTGCGTTCCAGCGGCCATCTTGGTTAGTTGTGTTGGTCTATGAGGAGTCCTGGCTTTATTCCACTGTGGATGTGAGATTCCTGGAAGAAAAAGGGTGTAGACTTGCTGAATTGAAGCCTACTATATCTAATAAATATGCCTTTATCAAGTGATTGACATGTGAGTGGCCTTAATCTCTGTTTTAAAAGGTTACTATTGTGTGACAATATTATACTATGTGAGTTTTTTCTTCTGGTTGAACGGTGGAGCCTATTCGGATGGTGAAGATTTCCTCTAGTGTGGCACCAAGGAGGGTTTAGGATCCTTTAAATTCCTTAAAGGTTTTTTACTCACCAAGTTCTGGTGAGTGTATTTGATGTTGGTTTGTGCACGGGTGGAAGGTGGAAGTTCCTTTTTTACATCTAAAGAAATTTTGAAGAAAAGAAGTTTACACATTTATATAATTTTTTAACACATGGACTTTTGGTGGTTTATTTTATTTATGAGTGAGGATAAACACTATTAATTTATGCACGTATTTTATAAGTTCTTATGAGTGATTAAGAATCTAATTTTGCGCTGTTTATTTATATTTATATTGTTTGTGTTTTTTCACAATTTGCACAGCAGCAGCTTAGATTGATATTTTGAAGGTTTGGCGCAGGAATAAGTCTTTTATACAATACTGGAGATGGCTGGAGACATGGACATGTGGACATGATAATAGAGGATATTAGTATGTATATATTAGTGCAGCGCAATCCAAAATGATAACCAACAGCAGCGTGCAAAATACCACAATTCCAATATTATAAATGAATAGATAATTATTAGAAATGAGTATGGTCCCTTTAAGAGATATACACCAATTACTAAAGTATTGTTACCACAACCTCAGTGCTGTAAATATTCTCCAAATAAATAAATAATATCTCTTTAAATGGCAAGTAAATCATATAGATCACAAACTAATATGCCACAAAAACACAAACCATGCTAGAACATAGTTAAGCATAATAAATATTTATAGTAAAAATGTCTATATCCAAAAAATATTATGTGAAGAATAATCCGTGAAGTAACAATCCTTCTCACTAAAGCCTCCACCACTTTTCTGAATGGTGGAGGCTTTAGTGAGAAGGATTGTTACTTCACGGATTATTCTTCACATAATATTTTCTTAAACGGATTATTCTTCACATAATATTTACTAAACGGATTATTCTTCACATAATATTTTTTGGATGTGGACATTTTTGATATAAATGTTTATTTATTATGCTTAACTATGTTCTAGCATGGTTTGTGTTTCTGTGGCATATTAGTTTGTGATCTATATGATTTAATTGCCATTTAAAAAGATATTATTTATTTATTTATTTAGAGAATATTTAAAGCACTGAGGTTGTGGTAACAATACTTTAGTAATTGGTGTATATCGCTTAAAGGGACCATACTCATTTCTTATAATTATCTATTCATTTACGACATTGGAATTGTAGTATTTATACACGCTGCTGTTGGTTATCTTTTTGGATTGCGCTTCAGTAATATTTACATATTTATTCATTGTGGGGTGTTACACAGTTAGGTGCTGGTGGCATTCTCTTTTTTATTTTCTTATTTTTTTCTTTACTATTTTGGTTTGCTTATTAGACTAATAATATTCATTGACATTCATCATCACATTAATAGGTAGCGCATGAGTATTTTTTCTCAAAAAATTGAGGATATTACATAATACATGATAGTACAGGAGACGGTCAGAGACCGTGGACGTGATAATAGAATATATTACATAATACATGATAATACAGGAGATGGTCAGAGACTGTGGACGTGATAATAGAGGATATTACATAGTACATGATAGTACAGGAGATGGTCAGAGACTGTGGACGTGATAATAGAATATATTACATAATACATGATAGTACAGGAGACGGTCAGAGACCGTGGACGTGATAATAGAATATATTACATAATACATGATAATACAGGAGATGGTCAGAGACTGTGGACGTGATAATAGAATATATTACATAATACATGATAGTACAGGAGACGGTCAGAGACCGTGGACGTGATAATAGAATATATTACATAATACATGATAATACAGGAGATGGTCAGAGACTGTGGACGTGATAATAGAATATATTACATAATACATGATAGTACAGAGACGGTCAGAGACTGTGGACATGATAATAGAGGATATTACATAATACATGATCGTACAGGAGATGGTCAGAGACTGTGGACGTGATAATAGAATATATTACATAATACATGATAATACAGGAGATGGTCAGAGACTGTGGACGTGATAATAGAGGATATTACATAATACATGATAGTACAGGAGATGGTCAGAGACTGTGGACGTGATAATAGAGGATATTACATAATACATGATAATACAGGAGATGGTCAGAGACTGTGGACGTGATAATAGAGGATATTACATAATACATGATAGTACAGGAGACGGTCAGAGACTGTGGACATGATAATAGAGGATATTACATAATACATGATCGTACAGGAGATGATCAGAGACTGTGGACGTGATAATAGAATATATTACATAATACATGATAATACAGGAGATGGTCAGAGACTGTGGACGTGATAATAGAGGATATTACATAATACATGATAGTACAGGAGATGGTCAGAGAGACTGTGGACGTGATAATAGAGGATATTACATAATACATGATAATACAGGAGATGGTCAGAGACTGTGGACGTGATAATAGAGGATATTACATAATACATGATAGTACAGGAGACGGTCAGAGACCGTGGACGTGATAATAGAATATATTACATAATACATGATAATACAGGAGATGGTCAGAGACTGTAGACGTGATAATAGAATATATTACATAATACATGATAGTCAGAGACTGTGGATGTGATAACAGAGGATATTACATAATATATGATAATACAGGAGATGGTCAGAGACTGTGGATATGATAATAGAGGATATTACATAATAATATTTATTTATTCCAGGTACTTATATAGCGCCATCAATTTACGCAGCTCTTTACATATATATTGTACATTCCAATCAGTCCCTAACCCTCAAGGGGCGTACAATCTAAGGTCCCTAACTCACATTCATACATACACATACTAGGGCCAATTTAGACAGGATCCAATTAACCTACCAGCATGTCTTTGGAGTGTGGAAGGAAACCGGAGTACCTGGAGGAAACACACGCAGGCACAGGGGAGAACATGCAAACTCCAGGCACGAGGTGCCATGGCTGGGATTTTAACCAACAGCCCTAGTACTAGCCAGGCGGTAGTGCTAACCATTTAGCCACTGTGCAGGAGATGGTCAGAGACTGTGGACGTGATAATAGAAGATATTACATAATACATGATAGTATAGCAGGTGGTCAGAGACTGTGGACATGATACAAGAGATGGTCAGAGAATGAGAACAGGTTACAAGAGAAAGTCATAGACTGAGGCCATAATACAAGAAATGGTCAGACTGTGAACATGCTATAGGAAACTGTCAGAGATTGTGAACATGCTATAGGAGTTTTTGGAGACATGCTCCAGGAGACAGTCATAGACTGGAGGTCACTGCTTTAACAGGGCAAGAGGAAAACACGGATTAGTGGCTGAAGGGGCTCTGAGCTTATTGTCACCATAAGCCGTCCATTAAAACATTTTCAAGGTACTGCTTAAGTATAATTAGAGCTGAATTTGAGGATCCATGACACTTATGATCCTTATATCCCTTTCCCCATCCGTAATAAAAGTGCCTTATTTTTGTATAATTAGTGTTTTTATTTCCTATGTCGTAATTGGCTCCCTCATTCAGGTTTAGTTTCCCCAGGCACTGGGGGAGGATCTAGGGAGGTGGTTTATGTCACAGCTGACACGTTTCTTAGTGTGTTTTTGGAACTACAATTCCCATGTTACTGTGAAATGAAGGGTAGGCATGTGGGAGGCACTCAGGGCTGTGCCCAAGGCATAACTGCCAATCAATGACTGTGGTTGGGTCACACCAAGTGTTGTGGGGGTTATACCCACCCACAGAAGGAAGCGTAACACCAGAATGTCACTTCTTCTGTCTTTTAACTACACAAATTAGGTTATGTGACTGGCAGCCATTTCTCCATAGGGTGAGTGGTGATGTCACTCCTGTATAACTTATATCTGGTGAGTGGTGATATCACTCCTGTATAATATAACTTACATCTGGTGAGTGGTGATGTCACTCCTGTATAATATAACTTACATCTGGTGAGCGGTGATGTCACTCCTGTATAACATATCTGGTGAGTGGTGATGTCACTCCTGTATAATATAACTTATTTCTGGTCAGTGGTGATGTCACTCCTGTATAATATAACTTACATCTGGTGAGTGGTGATGTCACTCCTGTATAATATAACTTACATCTGGAGAGTGGTGATGTCACTCCTGTATAATATAAATTATATCTGGAGAGTGGTGATGTCACTCCTGTACAGGGGCGGACTGACCATTCAAGCACTTGGGCACTGTCCGAGGGCCCGGGGTCAGTAGGGGGCCCCATGAAATGCCCCTGGTACCTTTTTTATAGGCTTTTTTGAGTGTGGGCAAGGACACAGGGGCCCCATGATCCCCTATTGCCCGGGGGCCCCATGAGTTGTCAGTCCGCCCCTGCTCCTGTATAATATAACTTATATCTGGTGAGTGGTGATGGAGAGCGGTGATGTCACTCCTGTATAATATACCATATATCTGGAAAGTGGCGATGTCACTCCTGTATAATTTAACTTATATCTGGTGAGTGGTGATGGAGAGCGGTGATGTCACTCCTGTATAATATAACTTGTATCTGGAAAGTGGTGATGTCACTCCTGTATAATATAACTTACATATGGAAAGTGGCGATGACACTCCTGTATAATATAACTTATATCTGGTGAGTGGTGATGGAGAGCGGTGATGTCACTCCTGTATAATATAACTTGTATCTGGAAAGTGGTGATGTCACTCCTGTATAATATAACTTACATATGGAAAGTGGCGATGACACTCCTGTATAATATAACTTATATCTGGTGAGTGGTGATGGAGAGCGGTGATGTCACTCCTGTATAATATACCATATATCTGGAAAGTGGCGATGTCACTCCTGTATAATTTAACTAACTTACTGTATATCTGGTGAGTGGTGATGGAGAGCGGTGATGTCACTCCTGTATAATATAACTTATATCTGGAGAGCGGTGATGTCACTCCTGTATAATATAACTTATATCTGGAGAGCGGTGATGTCACTCCTGTATAATATAACTTACTGTATATCTCAGGGGTGGACTGACCATAAGGAAACTCGGGCACTGCCCGAGGGCCCGGGGTCAGTAGGGGGCCCCATGAGATGCCCCTGGTACCTTTTTCATAGGCTTTTTTGAGTTTGGGCAAGGACACAGGGGCCCCATGATCCCCTATTGCCCGGGGGCCCCATGAGTTGTCAGTCTGCCCCTGGTATATCTGGTGAGTGGTGATGGAGAGCGGTGATGTCACTCCTGTATAATATAACTTATATCTGGAGAGTGGTGATATCATACTCCCAGCCATTACTTCTCACCCCCACCATCACAGGTGAGCTCTCAATCCCCCACACGTGTGGTCCACTATCTCCTCCATCCCAGCATTGCTGATCTTAGTGCTACTGTGACAGGGGAGAGAGAGCGCATGTGAGGGGGTTTCAGCCCGGGTTCACACTGATGAGGTGCGGAATTTGCATCGGTTTTTGTGCGAATTCCACACTGTATCACAATCACACCCCGTTCATGCGAATCGCTGCAGGTGTGTATGTTAACACCTCGAAATTGGTTTGCAAAATGCGGTGCGATGTACAGAATCGGATCACATGGATGTAAATAATTCCTGTAGTTGGGTAAACCACGGCTAATTGAAGAGTTTAGTAGCAGTGCAAAATATTTGGCTAACAAAATGCCCCAGCATCAGTGTGACAAGAAAATGTCCCCGTGTCAGTGGTGTCACTGGAAGGAAAAGTTGCTGCACAAAATAAACAGATTTTAAAGAGTTAGTCCATCTTTACCAATAAACTGCCCATGCAGGTAAAGGGTCTGTATATAAAAAAATACTGTGCAGCTTTGACCAAAATGTAAAAAATGCCCTTCCTATAGGTGTAGGCCATTTATTTACCTCCTGAAGCCTGACTGAAATACTCCCATAGGTTGCATCATCCCATCTTACCTTGTTGCTGGGACGTTACTAAGACACTCCCAGTTGAAATCCTGGCATGGTCTCTCTCTTCCCAGTGGCAATAGCTCTGAGCTCAGTGACAATGAGCCTGAGTACATAGTGGACCACACATGTGCGGGGGTTTGACAGCTCACTCCTGTGATGGTGGGTGTGGGAAGTAACTGCAGGGAGTGTCTTGGCAACATCCTAGCAACAAATCAGGAAGGGATGATGCCAGTTCTGGGATTATTTTGCGGAAGTATGTACAGTAAATGGCCTACACCTATAGCAAGGGCATTATCCAATTTTAGTCAAAGCCACCCAGTTTGTGTTTATCTACAGGTGCCCCTTACCTGTACAGGACTTTGTTTTGGTAAAGGTGAACTAACCCTTTAAAATAAACAAGCTTCTCAACAAGTTACAGACCTAAGGCTGAAGACTGATCCTGCCAGTCTGGCTAGTGAAATACTGGTGAGGTGGTAACCCTAAGGCTACATTCACACTAGCTTTGTCAGAAGGCGTCAGACAGGCATTTGGGAAGCGTTTTTAACGCTTTTCAAATGCCTGTGAAATTTCTGCACATGGCAGCCCACAGTGCTGTTCACACTGAAGCGTTAGCATTGCGTCACGGCACAATTGGTAGGGATGCCTATGACATTATTGATCTAATAAGGACAAATGACTTTGACCCTAATATGGCCACATGACTGACTGAACATGGTCATGTGGTTATATAGGCCAGTGAAGTCACAAGCTCCCCTTTCTCTCTGTGTATGTTCAAATAGGTTCTGGAAATACCCCTGCCACAGCTGATTGGGTGGGCACTAACAGCTTCTTCTGGATTTGGGCAAGTGTAGGTTGGAATCAAAGCCCAGCTCATCCCCAGGGTCATGTGATTGTTTCAGTAAAAACTGACACTAGAATGTTCTATTTAAAGCAGCAAGTTGTCTACCCTATATGCAAAATCTCTTTTCAACTGTACAGGTCGCTAAAGAAGTGGAAGGAGAGTGAAGTATGTTTTCTGCACTATAAGGGGCCTCCTGATTCCCCTAAACAGTCCCTGTAGCACAGTTTTCTTGGTGAATTTAGCCACAGAGGATAAGAAATGGAGAGAAGACAAAAAAAAAAACAAGTTATCTTAATGTGTACATTTGTGGCTTGGTGCTGCCCCCTGCCCTCCCACATGGAAGAAAACTATATTTGAAATATATTTTAAAAATATTCTTCCCAAATGTATTGCCATATATTTTAAATGCTATAATTGTGGCCATATTCAATATATTTCAAAATATATTTCAATAAATATGTATATACATATATATATATATATATATATATATATATATATATACTGCATGTTGAAATGCTTTTTTATTGCAAAATATATGAAAAATATTTTTAAAAATACATTTCAAATATACTGTATGTCTTTAGAAATACAAGCCTACATTTTTGGAATGCATTTACAAATATATGTAAAAATATATGTTAAAATTACTTTTTTTATATGTTAAAAAAATCTAAAGAATATATTTAATAAATATATATTTTTAAAAATATATTCTTCAGATTTTTTTTTAACATATAAAAAAATAATTTTAACATATATTTTTACATATATTTGTAAATGCATTCCAAAAATGTAGGCTTGTATTTCTAAAGACATACAGTATATTTGAAATGTATTTTTAAAAATATTTTTCATATATTTTGTAATAAAAATGCATTTCAGCATGCAGTATATATATATATTTATTGAAATATATTGAATATGGCCAAAATTGTAGCATTTCAAATATATGGCAATATATTTGGAAATAATATTTTTAAAATATATTTCAAATATATTTTTCTTCCATGTGGGCTGCGCACTGGACCTTTGGTGCCAATATGGTAAATGCAGCACTGATTGATGATGGACCACAGTGGGAGGAGATTTGTAGATTACTTGGTGCTGTCACCTTGTACTGTATGCAAATGCAATCATTCTTTTGGTGATCCTCCTGTCACTTCATAGCTGCTGGCTGTATTGTTATCCTGGCTAAATTAAGAGTTAATAGGCTTATCTACCAGGGTGACACTATTTATGTATACTCTTAGCAGCTTTAGGTGCAGGAAAGTGGTTCTTGATAGAACATGATGTTCTGCTGTTAACTGATGTGTGCATTGTGAAAAAATGTTAATTCTAATTGCAATCTCATGTGACACAATTTGCCTCTCATCAAATGAACATAAGACTCTCTATCAGCTACCCATAAGCCTGGTTTTAGTGATTGCTCTTATCATAATGCATTCGATAATGAACGTTAACTTGCCTTTTCATTGCATTCTAAAAGAATCCAATTAACTTGAATGCTAAATTGTAGGCCAACATAGCACAATCCGACATGTAGGACTTTTTACAATGCATTGTAATGCAGAACATTAACCTCTAAAAACAACTTATCTTTAAAAGTTCATGCATTTTGCTTGTGTTAGAGAATATGAAAATGTGTCCGGAGTGAATAAACCCATCCTTATATATTTTTTATGTTCTGGCGGCATAGGATTTTGCAATGCTGAAGACTTTATAGGTACGGTTGGCTTGAAATGTAAGTAACTGGCTTTGGATAAATCCTATTTAATGCACTGAGCCTTCCTCAACCTTCCCCCTCCTGTACAGATGGTAAGACTCACTCTGAGTGCCAAGTGTAAGCAGGAGGCTTATCTCTTACAGCATCGCATGCTACCTACAGTCTATGAGATGGCTGCTTGAGGTGAAATGAATCAATTCTCCATCTACATAGAAACAAGAAAATGCCAGTAGAAAGATGTTGGAATTGTTCGTAGCAGATATTGTGCAAACGGGTCCTGTTTGGAATCTGACGTAGTAGGGGGTAAGTACTACTTGCTGAGTCCTCCAGTACTAGGAAGACTGTCAGGATTAGATAACTCAACTATGTTGAGCCATATTTATTTGTAGTCTGAAGAACATAAAATGTGACTACTGTTAATTGCTGTTAATGATTACGGGTATATGAATTGACAATATGAATAGTTTTGGACCCCTTTTGTTTCTTACCACAGCACATATGTAAGTAACATTTATGTTTTTACATTTAAGGGACGTTTTATGGCTACAAGCAGTCATCCAACCAGGAGCCAGAAGATGTTTTCATCTGAGCAGCATAACACTGCACTGTAAAGAGCCAGCCACCTTTCATTTAGAGCTATGAGGCTAATGGATGAAATGGCTGTCCGCAAAGCCTTGAGAAGAAACAAGCTATGCACAGACTTTATAAATTCAGCCTCGTATCAGGTATATATGAGCTAATATCATCACGTGGATCATGTATGTGCTGCTTGACCCCTTTACGACAACAATACACATATACGTGGCAGCAGGTTGGTTGGGCCTTATTGCCCAGTTGCCACCAACAGTTTCATACTCAACTACTGACAATCTGGAGCCAATAGGATGAGCTCCCAATGACGTCAGCACTGGGCAGCCAAACCAAAATACATAATGATTGGGGGCCCCTCATATCGGCCTTTGGTGT